CGTTGATGCTGGCGCACACAGCTGCCGGCGCTAACCAGCTCACATCGGTATAAATGTGGTCCGCAGGCTGGTCCGGGTGGGGGTCCTTCTCTCTCAGCTTTCGGCAGCTCACCGCAGCTTAAACGTGAAGCAGCCGAAGAATCCGGTAATGAGTCCCACCTCCCCCCAGCGCGCGCCCCTCCAGCGAGAGCGGCGCGCGTCCCTCCAGAGAACAACGTGTGCTCCCGCGGGGCTAAGCAGCCTTCACTCCAACAGCACGGTGTAAATGAAGTCACGCCCTCCGCCTTTTCAACGTTCGCACAGCGACGTCAAACGCGCAGCTCACCGCGTCATCAGCTGTCACACGCTTCGCCTTCAGCTCAAGTCTCGCCCGGGGTCACACAGAAAACATTCCCGCGACGCATGACGGCGGTTGAGGGACGGACTGCTGACAGCCGTACAAAACATGACGCATCATTAACGCACGTTCATCCACGAACGTTACGTAGAGTGGCTAAACATGCTCGCCGTTTTTCAGATGGATGGACAGGGTTTATGCAAATGGTACAAGTTACAGTTTGCAACCCGAACCCCTCCATTCAGAGGAGTTATATAAACGGTCCCGTCATCATCATCAGACTGATTCTCTTCCCTAAATGCAGAAATCCAAGTGTTTTCTGATAAAAGTAATCTACAGAGTTCCCCAAGGGAGAGAAAACACGAGGGTGTTTACTCACGGATCGGAGGGGTGAGACCGTTCTTGGATCTGTTGTTTAACATCCAGAGAACGCATACCGATCATCCTAAAACACAGAGACGAGAGTTTTTTGTTTTACCTGGATGATCTGCGGATCCTGTCACTTCAGACAGGAGGCGCTGATGCAGGATCAGGTGTTGACATCACACCTGTTAATCTGGGCTTCGCCATAAGTGGAAGGAAGCTCGATTTTCCCGGCCCAGACATTTGTTTTCTGGAGTGGAATTAAATTCAACCACCATGAAATCTCATTTATCACATGAGACGCCTCTAGAGGTGTTTTTGCACGTCTGCATGTGGATCCAGTAAAACAAACGACGGATGATCATTGTCTTTTCCTCTGTGGAAGCAGACCTCCGACTCTGGGGAAACACCTTGTTTTTCTATCAGAGGGAGTCCCCCTCAGCAGACCCACGTCATGGGTCAGTCTTCACGGACACGTTGCTGTCAGGCTGGGGGGGGGGCATACCTATCTCAAGCAGTAGGGGCGCTGTGGCCCCACTACACATCAGCCCACATCAATGTTTTGGAGTGTCGCACAGTACTGAATGTGATTCAACACCTTGCTCCTGTGCTACAGAATCAACACGTGTTGATTCACACAGACATCACGATGACTGCTGCGTACATAACCATCAGGGTGTGCGTTCAGCCCAGATGTTACACATTGTGCGAAAGCTACTGAGTTGGGTTCATCAAAACCTGCTTTTATTAGAGCGGTTTACATATCCGGTGTTCTGATGTGACGTCCAAGGGCGGCCCACGTTACGTGGACCGGATCCTCCATCCGGATCTGATGTTTTCAGACGCAGCAGAAGTTGGCAAAGCAGCTGTGGACCTGTTTGCGATGTGAGAAGAACGCTCAATGTCAACTACGGTTTTCCCTGAGCCCGCGAGACGATCCATCGCTGGGGGGGGACGCATTTGCTCACAGTCGGTGGCCCAAAACGCTTTTTACGCGTTTCTTTCCCCCCACCTCCTCTGTTTTTTTACGGTCCATGAACCGAGTTCAAGAGGAGGGATTGACAGCTCTCCTGGTGGCTCCCGGCGTGTGAACGCACTATGGTTCCCAGGCCTGCAACGTCTGTTGTTGGGTCGCCGTGGAACTGTCATGGAGGAAGGATGCTCTCCTTCAGGCAGGAGGAGCGACCAAGAGTTACCCAGAAATAGGTCAACACCGGTGGGTCTGACCGCTGAGCGGTTCCACTTAGATGATGGGTCTCCCTCAGGAGATAGTGTGCACAATTCAAGATTCACGTGCTGCATCTACCACAGTTCTGTACACATCAAGGGGACGGCTTTTCAGCGCTGGTGCACAGAGAAGGTTTAGAGACCACTTCATGCCTTTTAGGCGGCGTGTTGTTTTTCTACAACAGCTGATGGATAGGGAGTTGGCTTTCAGTACGCTTTAACGTACGATTGCAGCCATCTCTTCCTGCCACAAAGGGTTTGGAGACAGAACAGCTTTTATCACCCGCTGATGAAGCGGTTTCTAAAAGGTGTACAGAGATGTAGGCCTGTTTTCACGCCCACTTGTTCCACAGTGGGTTTAACGCTGGTCCTGCGAGCCCTGATCAAAGCTTCAATTGAGCCTCTGGATCAGGTTTCATTTAAATTCTTGTCTCTTTTAACAGCCCTGTTGCTGGTTTTAACACCCGCTAAGAGGGTAAGTATTTATCTGCCCTCTCTGTTGCTTCGTCATGCCTTAGAATTAGGCTGACGGGCAGCTCAGCTGATTTAAGACCAACCCAGCTTTTATGCCTAAAACATCACGAGCTCTTTTAAATCAAGAGTGATATCGTTGGAGGGGTTTTTTCCCTCCCACAGATCAGAAGGGGAAGCATCTGTTCATCTTCTCTGCCCGGTGCAGGCGTTGACGTGTTACGTAACGCGCACAGCTGCAATGCGTTCAAATTCAACAATTGTTTGTGCATTATAGAGATGCTTCTGCAGGTCGCCGTTATCCATCCAGCGCTTGTCACACTGGCTGTGTGAGGCCTTTTTTCTGAAGCCTACAGAGCATCAGATTAGGGCCTCCTGTCAACCTCTAAGCACACTCGACCAGGGGTATCGCATCTTCGATTGCTCTGCATAATGGTATGTCAATGCAGGACATTTGCACTGCGGCTGCATGGTCAACACCCTGCTCATTTATTCGCTTTTACCTACGTGATGTAACGGCTCGTTCCATGACACATTCTGTCCTTAGTGCTCTAACAGAATGAATATTATTGTTCTCATGGAACTCTGTTTAAGCTCACTTCTGTCTGCATGCATTACAGTGTGAGATGTTGTTATCAGTCACAGTTGTGTCTGTGTTTCTGGTTCTATTGTCACTAATCAGTTCATGATTATTGTTACCAATCAGTTCATTTGATTATTTATCAATTCATGGACATTAATCTGTTTATACTGTTCAGCCATGAACCAGTTGGTTCATGCCCCCCTCCCCCCCTCTTTTCAACTTCCTCTTCCCGTTGAAAGTTTTTCCGGGGTATTCATGCTTGTCAGAACGCATAGTTACACAACATGCGTCTGTGCATGGCACATAATTACGCGATGCGTAGTTTATGCACACGGGGAGCTGGGTGACAAGACGTTTTTTGGGCAAGCTTCCGCTTCTTACTGTGTTCGAATGGACCCAGTGAGGCGAGGACCACATCGGCTTCGCCCTTTACCCACTAAAGCGAAGGCCTTAAAGGGCGAAGCTTATACGACATAGAACGTTGGTTACGTACTGTAACCCCAGATTCTATGAGTATAAGCGTAGCCCTTTAAGCGTCGGGCCTCACTGGCTCCTAAATGGCTGAAGAAAAAGCTATTTTGGGAGCCGATTTCCCGCTCTTAACGTAATTTATACGGACCGGGTGGGGCCCACACAGCAGGTGGGCGTGGACTAATTTTTTCAGTGCTTATGCTCTGCATAACGGGATAAACCCACTAAAGCGAAGGCCTTAAAGGGCTACGCTTATACTCATAGAATCTGGGGTTACAGTACGTAACCAACGTTTCCTGGAATATCTGACAAAAAGATTTGAAGCTCTCGACCTTGACCTCTCTAAGTGTCTTTAAGAATCTGTTGGACACCTGGCAGGGTCCAATGCTGACATGTTCCTGTTGTTAGTTTTCTACATTTGTCTTGGAATCTAGCTGTTTTTTGTTTTGTTACCTTTTCCTTTTAGCCATCCTATTTGTTAAAAAAAAATAATAAAAAAAAAATACTGTAGTATGCTTTTTTATAACTGTTTATTGTTGTCGCTGTTGTCATCTTTCTTTGTTGAAATCAGGTCTCTCTTGTAAATGAGTCCTCGAGGCTCAATGGGATTTACCTGTATAAATAAAGGTTGATTGAATATTGCACGCCCCACTTTTCAGTTTTTTATTTGTTAAAAAAGTTTGACACATCCAATAAATTTCATTCCGCTTCACGATTGTGTCCCACTTGTTGTTGATTCTTCACAAAATATTAAAATTTTATATCTTTATGTTTGAAGCCTGAAATGTGGCAAAAGGTTGAAAAGTTCAAGGGGGCGAATACTTTCGCAAGGCACTGTAAGTAAAGTGCTATGTGATGTCATCCTCGTATGTTTCCCTACAATGGCGAAATTGGTTCTCTGTATTTAACCCATCACACCTGGGATACACCCAGGTGGAGCAGTGGGCAGCTATAAGCGCCTGGGGAGCAATTAGGGATTAGGTGTCTTGCTTAGAGACACCACGACATGTAAGAATGGCTGGGGATCAAACCTTGAACTTCCGGCTGCCCTGCCTCTACCCCGTCTCACATAGCATAACAATACTGTATATGTTGAAGCCTGTTGCAGGATTGATAACTTCTTACATCTATATCTGCATACTGACATAACATCTGCTTATATAAAATTAATCAATGATGATTGATGCTGTATCACCTTCAGTATTTTAACCGCCAACATTTGTGACTTCAAACTATGAATCGGGGTAGAAGCAACAATAGGTCCCGGTAAATGGATTTATCCCAACTAACTTTACAAATTGGTCTAAGGTTATAGAAGTTAAAGACTTACTTTTATGTTATCTCTTTGTTATTACACAGTCACAAACGATATGTATCTATCCACCTGAGGTATGACAGCCTATAAGTATTTTTAAGGCTAAACATGGCCGGGCATACTGTGAAGTTGAAGGGAGAGGTCAGTGTTTGGTCAGGCCTTGTGGTTTCAGACGGACTCCAGCTTCAGTTCAAATTCCATTTGTGGTCGACAGTGGAAAGAGTGCTGCTTACCCTGAGACGTACTGGTGAATGCAGTCAAAGCTGGACTGAGGCTTGTCTTTGCTGTCACTGGATAGGTAAAACGAGAAGACTCTGAATCCCTCTGGAGACTCGGGGGTCGGCGCTGGGATCTTTACGTACTACACAAGGCAAACGGAAACATAAAACAAAGATTATGACTGGTGGTAAATTATATTTAACCAAATAAAAGTCTCGAGAATAAAAGACAGCATTAAGGCAGCGGTGTGTACCACAGCCACGACATGTTAATATTTAACCTTTAACAGTTTAGTGTTCTCTGATGGGCTTGAATTCATCTGCGAGCTTTGCTATTTTGAGTGGCGAGTTATGTAATAAGCATAATTTTATCCCTCCCAGAAGCTGCCTGCACCAAATCAATGTAATCTAAAAAAATAAAATCCTACAAGTAAAATGACTGAAACACATGAGCACAACCATTAGATGTTTTTATGTAGTAAACATGACCTAAATAATCTGTCATGCGGGCGAGTCATTAAAGCTACATGGCAACTCCCAGGTCAGGAAAGACGACCTACGGTCCCAGCCATGACAGGAAACTGTCTGAAGGGCAAAACACAACAAACACACAAAAGGCACCTCTTTTCTTTTTGATGGGGGTTAATTTTTTCTGTCACCAACTTACCATCACTCCCTTACAGCAAACAAACCAACAGTGCAAAGTCTATCTTTGTCAGATAGCCGTTACATAAAATGACCTGAAAACCCACTTCCACTAAAAGGATAGTTCAGCATAGAAAGTCATTAACCTGCAGGTAAAATGTCCTGTAAACTGCATCGGGTAGTGGCTTTCTGCTACACTGCCTGCAGCTGCGTCTCAGTCTGAAAACAGACAATTTAGTGCTTTTGTCAATAGAGTGTCCCGGTCACTTTTTTAAACCTCTATTTGTGGTGCAACTCCTACCCAAGCAGGCATTTGCTTTAGGTTAGAGGACTTTAAAGCTTCTTGTTAGCTAATGCTTGTAATTGATTATGAGCCTTGTGTTTGACAGCAAAGTGCCCCTGGCAGCTGTGACAGCCAGGACTTTAGCTGTCACAAATGCCCAGTCATGCAGCAAAGCCATAAGCAGTTTTTTATTTATTTTTTATTTCCCCCTCAACACAGAACCAACGAACAACCCCACTTCTCGACACCCCTCCTCCTCTCCTGAAACCCAGCGCATGCCATTCACCCTACCCCCATCCGCCTCCAGCTTTCCTTCATGTGCACAAGTCCACCCATGTCAACACAAAGCAGCTCACAAGGCTGGAGACTTTTAAGACACAGCTGACCATTAATTTTGACCTATTTATGTCGGACTGTTAGCACAATGTGGTGAAGCAGTCACATGCATTTTTTTTTTTGTGGCTTTTATGCTAAATGGGGATGATGAACAAAACAAGCGGGCGAGGACACACACACACACACACACACACACACACACACACACACACACACACACACACACACACACACACACACACCAGGAAGACGTGTCCTAAAGAATCCATTAAAAGTTTTAAATGACAGTGGATGCAAATAAAAGCAACATGATGAAAAGTTTACACGTTTAGCATTGTAATAGTGCCACCACGTCCCGTCTTTCAGCTGATAGCAGCAACACGAGCCCCCCCTCCAGACGTGCATTCAATTTGCCTGTCACCCCAATCCATGCCACCGTGCACACTTCATATTCTAATTCTAATCAATGTCACTCAGGTCAGACTGTTCAGAGGTCGTCGCCCCCACCCCCACTTCATTCACAGCTTCGTTTTCAAGCTTTATAACCATATGTCATTTAACCCATTAGCTCCCAGCTCCTGATTCCTGAAGGAGAGCCTTCATCAGATGATCTCTAATCATACGTGCAGCCCTAAACATGATGTATGACAACAGAGAAACATGTGCTTTACTAAACCAGAATAACCTGAACTGGAGTGGTTTGATCTGTAGGAATCCAAGGGAAGAAGCCGGATTGGTGTGCAGAAAGTATGAGTATGAGCATGGGGGAAAAATCATCAAAAATTGGCCATAAAAAGTTCATAACTTGTTTGTTAAAAATTTTATTAGTATAGTACAAAAAAGTTGTTAAAATAGTTATACAAGTAAATGTATTTACAGAAAAGGCTTTATAGTAAGCGCAAATACAATATAAAAGGTGAAAGGCATGCACAAATATTTTTACTCACTTTTTCTTCATAATAAAAGATTTTAAATTATATTCTAATAAAAGAAAAATGTTAAATGGCTGTTCATTATCACAGCTCAACATTTTAGGATTTTTTTTGTTGTCAAATGTGACATCTTTCTTCTCTTGTATTGAATGTGTACTCAAACATGACTGTACTGAGCTGACCAATAATTAGATTGTGTTAGAATAATTCAAACTAAATTGAATTGCAGGCAATTGAATTGTAATTGGACCTGTTAGCATTTTGGCATTTTTTTCCTTAGAGGACTTTTATTGTGATTTGGAGATCGAAAAACTGAAATTGTATTTAAAATATATAAAAGGTGAACAAAAAAGTTGTACCTTTAAGTCACTGAGTTGTAATGTAAACTAAAAACTAAAACTGAATGTTTAAAAAAAAAACAACAACTATAAACAATTAAAACAAATGTTCTATTTGAGCCAAAGAAACAAATACATACATCTTTACCCACTTCTTCCTTTTCGGGACATGGGGTTCACTGGTGCCAATATCCAGCAGTCACTGGACAGGTCTCCAGTCCATCACAGGGACACAGAGACAAATGAGACAAAAACAACCATTCACTCTCTCACACACCTAGGGACAATTTAGAGTTACCAATCAGTCTAACATGCATGTTTTTGGTCTGTCGGAGGAAACTGGAGTACCTGGAGAAAACCCACACATGCATGGAGCAAACATGCAAACTCCACCCAGAAAGGTCCTCAGATGGGATTTGATCTGGCGACCTCTTCCCTGAGAGGCAACAGCTTTACCAACTGAGCCACCGTGCCACAAACTATCGATTACCGTACTTTCCAGCATATAAGTTGCTTCGGCGTACAAGTTGCATTTATTAAATGGTTAAAACGGCATCCATCCATCCATCCAGGAGCCGCCAGCTCTCCAGCGTTCCTCCGCCTGCACCAGCTGAGTGAAGCGAGCGCACACAGGAGCACTCGCTGTTGCAGTTCTTAGAAATTTCAAGCGTCAGTCAAAATTTGCGTTATGAATATGGAAAAAAAAAACGTATATAAGTCGCTTTGGCTTATAAGTCACAGGACTGACAAATCTATGCAAAAAACTGTGACTCATATGCCAGAAAATACAGTAATTACTTTGATTAAATTTTAACAATGCAAATTAGTAAGATTTCAATTTTACTGTCAAACCTGACACGTTTTAAAAATTGAATACAGTTCAAGTTTTTGCAATTGCAGCTTCTCATTTTATCATTCACATTTTAGAGGTATAATCTTGTTACCTGGTCAGTCTGTTATTTGCGCTGCATACCAGCAGCCAACTCAGCAGATGTAGTGTAGTGTCAACAGCCAGACGTTTGCCCTTACAACCATCAGCACAGCAGAATACAACAATTACCACAGCCAACATTTCATCGTCTCACACCCCCACCCTGATTGGATCAGGTTTGACTTTAGATGTATTTAATCAATGATGCGTCATGTGGAAACGGGTTTGCTCTCCCGTAGGTCAAGTAGTAGGTGTGGATTTACATAAAGATACTGAGTCATGGGCTTTTCCATAATGAATCTTCGCCTCTGATCCCCGAGGGTGAAATTGTGTGTTGCCTTGCAGACAGAGATCATTTTATCACAGGGCACATGCAACAGTGAGGTCAGATATCCAACTAACGGCTGAGGTTGAATGTCGGCAGAAGCCGTTCTCAGCCAGACTTTGTGGACTCGCAACATGGAATTGTCAATGAGCAAACAAGAAACTATTAAAAGGAAAAATAAGTCACAACAACTGCAAACAGGACTTTTTTTTTTTAAATGGCAAAGCATCAGATTATACTAAACGAATATCAGCTTGAGAAACGGAGCTCCAGCACTCGCAGGTCAAGTAGGAGTCATGTGTGCACATGTCGCAGACAGAAGCTCCAGTTAGGCTGCATGTGTTTCTGGTAGAGCCGAGTCATTCAGGAGATATTTGGGTCTTCAAAGTTGAAATAAGAATAACTATTGTTTCAAATTGGCTTTCTTAAAAAAACAAGCAAAGAAAAATAACGTGTCCTAGAAAAAGATGCTTTTACTGTATGCGACTTGCATAACGCGCAATAGAATATTTATTTCTGCTTCATCTCTCCCCGTTGTAAAAGCAAACAAAAATTAAGAAAAAAATAATTAGTATATTTTCATCAGTTCAGAATTAACGAAAAAATTCAATAAATTGCTTATTTGTGTTGAAGTATTGACACTTAATCTCAAGATTATAATTCAAAAAGAATCTTGATTGGGAATGACCCTGATCAGAATACACTATTAATTTGTGTCTGTTCAAAAGATCCAGCAGTTTAATGTTAAGCTCGTGCTGAGTATTGTGTTGTAATCCTCCTCGTCACTCCGACACGAGTCTAGTGTAGCAGTTGGACAGTTACAATCAGAGCTACTAAATGGAGACTCTGAGCACGTTTTATGTGCAGCTTATTCTAACCATTAAGAACTAAACCACATGGATTTATTTTACAAGTTCCTTTTAAAGGACAGGACAGTGGTGCAGTGGTTAGAGCTGTCACTTTTCAGAGAGAAGGGCGCAAGATCGCCAACTGGCTTGGAGCCTTTCTGGGTGGAGTTTGCACAGTCCCCCTGTGCATGCGTGTTTTTGTCCAGGGAACTCTGGTTTCTTCTCACAGACCAAAACATGCATGTTGGTTTAATTGGGAACTCTAAACAGTGGCTAGGCAAGAGAGTGAAAATGATTTATCGTCTCATTTGTCTCCGTGTGACCCTGTGATGGACTGGACACCTGGCCAGGTGTACTCCACCTCTCGCACAGTGACTGCTAGAGATGGACACGAGCTTCCTGCAACCTGGAAAGGAGAAGCAGGTAAAAAAGAAAATGGGTGGACGGTTGATCCTCTGCCAAGTATTTGAATCATACAAATGAGCAGTGCTGCCAGAGCCACACA